ATGCTGCAACATGTATGGTGTCTACCTCTCAGCCACCGGGTCCAGGTTGCTGGAATGTTCCTTGTCTTTTCTTACGGTTGGAGAAACACTTCAAAGCAACTGAGTGTAGCATCACCGAGGGTGTGGAACAGGAAAAGTATGACAATAGAAACTGCCAATGATGCAAGCCCCCTATTGATCCCTTTTGCTTATGTCAAAGAGCTGATTGAACTACTGGTTTATGTGAACAAAGACACCAATTCTGGACATTTGTCCCTTGTGTGCCGGTTTCCTTCTCCGTAATTTCAGAGAAAACCAAGACCAGCCGCTGACAGAATACTGGGGTTTGAATGCCTGCCATGTTGATCAGCAGTTTGTATACGGTTTATTGGGGATGCAGTGAGGTACACCATTGTATACTCCTCGCCTTTTGGATGCTCATAGTTGAGGGCTTATCCTTTCTTTTTTTTTTTAAGAGAATACCAGCTCCGATCTATTCGGGGGGAGCAGCACGTGCTGGGAACCGGACCCAGCGCCCCTTTCTGAAAATTACTGCGGGCTTATCCTCATGTTCTAACACCTTGCATTCTCTGTACATTGACAGGACGCTTAGGGGGAGGCTTGACACCTTAACTGCAAAGTTCTGCAGACTCTTACTTTTGATGACAGCTGCAGCCTCTGATCATTGGCTGTCACTGTGAACCCTGGAATTCCACGTACCTGGCGGTCACTGAAAGCCAACACTTAACACTTGGTACTCGTTGCCGTGTTTCAGGTACCTGTCGACGTTACGCGAGAGTTTCTCGATAGTGTGTTCGCTGCCATCAATCCTCTTCGGCCGTCGTTCAGAATTTACAATGGGCCACAGGAGCTCCCAAGTGGTCGCGCACTTATCATACCTGACCACTGTCACCTCAGTGGCAGCGCAGGTGAGTAGCTTCCAGTTTCACCACGGTTCGCGTGAGTAGCTTCCAGTTCCACCATGGTTCGCTCACCGTCAAACTTGTGCCTCCCTCACTTATCATGCAATGAGGAACATCGTCATCATGTGGATGGCATCTTTCTCCTAGTCATCATCTAAGTCATGCACAAATGCCTGGGGCTCAGTTGCAGCTGATGTGATGGTGGTACCATGTTGGGCCATATGTGATGTATGAGGTACCATGGTGGTACCCTGGTGGCATGATGAGGTACCATGCAGTGTCATGGTGGTACCATGAGGGTCCCGTAGTTACCCTAGGGGATACTAGAGGAATCGCTGGCTACAAAGAGGAATGTAAGCAACCATGCCGCCTCTTGAGATTGATGTGCGAAAACTCAGAAGAGTCAGAACCCATGTGAGGCCTGGTGGTACAAGTTCCCCAAGAGTCGCATGGGGGTGAGTGGAAAAATGACGAGCATTGTCGGTACCTGGAAGGTATTCGGTAGTATGCACCAAAAGAGAGGAAGAACCATGCAGTTTTGCAGGGTGCCAAGGGCCTGGAAAAGCAAAGGCCGCAGTGCACCCCTGATTTCAAGCCAGCCACTAAGTGAGCCTATCAGAAACCTCCGACACGAGGCAAATGGTGCCCGTCTGTGGGCTAGCTACACAAAGTGAGGCTAAGGTTGGTGGTGTCAGTGTATGTTGTAAATGTTGTGCTGTACGGAAATGAGAGGCTCTGTTCTGTTGTTTCTGTAGTTTGTTGCAGTTCTGCTTGTGCACCATGCACCTAACGGATTCTAACCCTTCCAGATTTTTCATCTTGGGATCTCTTTCCGATAAGTATCGACCATAGAAACAAAGTTTGGTGATGTCAGTGCTTCTGTATCATGCTGACCAGGCCTGACCTTTGTTTGGTCTGCATCGACTTCCTTCTGCTGCATTGTTTTTTTTTTTTTTTTTTTTTTTTTTTTTTTTACAAAAGCTGCAGTTTTATTATATAAGCAATTCATGAGGTCGGGAATCCGTCAACATCTCAGCCCGGTTAGTGCTGGGGCCATTATTACCCAGGTTAGGCTTGTCCTGGAAACCGGGTCTAGTGTCTCCTTGTCTTGCAACTTATACGAAAATCCGAACTGGGCAACCAACTAAGATCCAAACAGAAGTGAAGGAAGAAAGGGAGTCCCACAGTCTCTGGTCGTAGTCCGGTGCTGGAGTTGGAGGACTGGAATGTGCTGCGGCTGTACTGTTCTATTCAATTCCCATCTTCTCGACTATATTCTGTTTTCTCGACTTTTTTTATAACCTTTTCACCGCACTGCTGTCCGGTCTCTCCTGGTCACTTCGGGCTGATGGTTCTTCTTCCCTGTTCTCTTCCTCTGCTGATCACCTCATCCGTCATTGATTGTTGTTTCCTTCACAGTTTAGCTTGATCGTCTTGTTTTCCTCCAGATTTTGCTTTCAACCATCTGTCTGTCATGCATTACAATGTAATAAGTACTAATAACTACTAATAACTACTAATAACTAGTAATAAGTACTAATAACTACTAATAACTAGCAATAACTACTAATAACTAGTAATAAGTACGAATAACTACTAATAACTAGCAATAACTACTAATAACCAGTAGTAACTTATAAGTAAATAATCAGTGGCATATAGACAAATGTTGACAAGCGGGTTGAGAAGCTTTCCCAGTAGATGTGCTCTATGAAGTTCTATCCACATTCATGTTGTTTCAACTTGTTTGTATTATTATCATATATATA